AATTTTTGAAGGTGGTGTAATAAACTATTTAGGACTTATCTACCATATTAAGACAACATCTTGGTTTTGAATATCAACAAATAGGAGAAAGAATGCTTAGAATAGCCTAACAGACTGGGTTGCTAAATCTATAGATTACCTATAATATTCTGCAATTGGTGTATTTTATATGAAGAACATATGTGGTATTGTCTGATTTGGGAATGCATGCGAATAACAAGCTATCAAGAAGCAAAGAAGGCACCGAGATCAGATGGATGCGTTTTTCGTTATGGAGCAATTTTGATAAAAAAACAAGACAATATTTTGGTTGACTTAGAGGAATAAACCGACTTACCGATGAAACAGACCATCATAACATGAATTAGGTACACATTTTATGATAGATTAAAACCTACCACATTGTTTATGGTATATATAATGCACATACAATAATAATGCAGAAGCACAAGTGTGTTAGTCTATAATGTAACTCATTCCGTCAAGTTGTAGATCAAGGAAAATTTAGTCTTTATACACCGTTATATCAAGTTATTTGACGTAAGTATTTATTTGATGGATGTTGGAACTGAGGTAGGGTCTTATATAGGAGGATAATTAAGGGTTAGTGATTAGTTGTTGGAATTTTAAGATGTAGGTGGTTGCTTGGGATCTGATGTTGGGGTTTATGTATAAGAGAGAGTTTCTTATGGAATTATCATTTAGGTGGTATTATATTGTTTTATACTTGGTCTAGTATGTGAGCATATGATTACGAAAGTCATATACAATCCTTCATAAAAGGCGGGTTGTGGTCCTTTCTATGATGATGGGTTCGAGTTTTGCCTTCATTGTAATGGGTTGATATATCCCTTGTACTCACTTTAATTCAATTAGCTTAAAAATAAAGAAACCAATATTTAGGCCTACATGCACCAGTAAGTTGGTGATGATAGAGAGACACGTCAAAAGTTTGTTCACCGTGAAACATTGGGGTTTGGTCGGTTTTGAGGTTCTTATTTGGATTATATGGCCAGTGATTTAAGATCAACAATGGGTTATAGTGAACAAAAATTACATGAATACTAACAAAATGAGAATGATAGTGAATAGGTATAAAAGAGAGAGAGAAAAACCAAATGGCTACAACGGGGATAACATAGGAAAGTAAAATTTTATTCAAGGTGAAAAATAAAGGAAACTACAATATGAAGACATGAAAAACAAAAATAAAACCAAAGATGGACATTATGGATTTTGCATATAGAAAATTTGGTTATAATATTTAGCTAAAAAAATAACTCTCATTTATTTTATTTTTAAAAAAATAAAATAAATAAAACTATATATAAATATAAGAAGGCACCAAAGGACAATAATATAAAATAAGTGGATGGTCGGTGGCACAAGATGTACTAAATAATCAGAAAAAAGAAACAAAAATGAGACACCAACCAAAAAAATAAAAACACCAATACAACATGATCAAAAAAATAAAAACACCAATACAAAGATATGAATGTCGTAGGAAGAGAAAAACCAAAAGCACCAAAAGAGAACACAAGCTAGATTCCCCCATCCAAGACATACGATAAACGACACCAATCACCAATGAGGAACAAGAATACACCATAAGCAGGCTGAAGGAACTCAAGATGCCATTGGCTCAGATGTCAGATAGGGTCTCGAGCGTGACTGAAAAAGCACAAGAGTTCCTCATAGGCCTACCAAGATACGAGTTCTAACCCAAAATGATGCTCATATCTTTTACGTCCTTTTCTAACACCAATTTATCTGAGAATAATATTATTTCAGAATTTTCAGATCTACCAGTCCGTACCATGCCAAATCATAAGACACCCCATAAGCCTAGAAACACCACCAAGAGGGAAATGCTTATGAAAAGTGGTCAAGGAATCCCAAGGTAAGACTACATACCACCCAAACCAAGTCAAATCATGTACCTAACAAAAACCACTACGTCATAAGTTACAAAGAAATGAGAGGGTGGCTCTAGAAACCTCAAACAAAAAGGGAAAGAAACACCTTCCAAACCAATGGAGACCCCCGTCTTGAGTAAATTCTCTCTAGTAGAAATCTTATCTTGTAGGAATTTCCAGGAAAAATAGTTACTTTAAAAAGGGAATAGCTACACCAGATACTATTGAATCCACTAATGAGACCTGACGATCTCTAGGAAAATCACGAGAAAGAAAGAGTGAAGCCACATAATAAGAATCATCTTTAGAGTGGCTCCAACACCACTTTTCGGACTAGGTGGAAGGGATAAAGTCTCTGACTACTAAAGAAGATCAGAAATCAAAACTTACTCATGTTAAAAAGGACGAGCTCTTTTCCACTTAAGATTCAAAACCTAAGCCTACCTCCCATTTACCAACTTTTCCCACTGAACAATCCTTCTAGTCAGAGATAGAAAAAAACTGAAGGAACTTAGCTCTAAGTGGAATATCCCCCTATCCAGGAATCTTTCCAAAACTTAGTGGGAAGACCAAACCCAATTTTCTTAACCACACTGTTCCAAAATCAGTCTGAGCGATCCTCCTATTTGGCACCGAGAAGGGATATCCCTCTCCACCAAGGAGACACAGAGAGAATAGATGAAACTCTACCTCCTAAGACAGAGAAAGTAAAAAAAACACAATATCTAGGAGGTAGAATATCTCTCCTGACACCTGAATCTTCTGAGAGAAGCAACCACTTCCACTTATCCATCAGAGCTAGGTTAACTAACTGAAGACTGCAAACACCAATGACCCCCAAACTTCTTGGACTAACAAACATCAGACCACCTAACCCAATTAATTTTAGACCCTCATCTAACACCACCCCCGCATAAACCACCTTTGAATTTTCATGATTTTCTTTCAAATATTAACATGCATATTTAAAAAAGACAAGAAAAAGATAGGAATAACATTAAGTATAAAATTAGAAATCACACAACCTCCTAAGAACACACATATGCCTCAACTAGCTAAAACACTCAGAGGATAACCTTAATGGCTCATAGGTTCTCAGAGGACGCATCCTCTAGAATAAGTGTGTTATCTGCATAATAAAGATGATAGACCATCAAATCTGGGAAGCCCACTCGAATACTTGAGAAAAGTTGTTAGTCCACCTTAGAGAACAACTCACTCAGACCTTCAACTACCAAGAGAGAGAAAAAAAAGTTAGTACACCTTGCTTCAATTCCATATAAATGTTAATTTATTAAATTGGACAACCATTAATCAAGACTACAAAATTACCAGAAAAAACACAAGCACAAATTTAATCTCTCTACCTATTATTAAAACCAAATCTAGCAAATTCAACCTCACCACTTATTTCATTGTTGTAATTACAATACAATAAATAATCTTATTTAAATAAATATTTTTTTTAAATATTTTAAGTTTGCTTAATATATAGACCACGTACTACAATATAAAAGTAACTACACAAAATAATAGTAATTACTAATGTCATACATAAAATTACATATCATCATGTTTCATTGTCTCACCACAATAGTAACAAACAAATTTATAAAAAAATATTAGTTTTAATGTGTTGAGATAATCGAATAGGAATACCTCATGTTTATATATAATTTATTTATATGTTGGAATATTGTTATAAATCGTGATCTTTTTGTTTTTAGGTAAAACAAAAGTTAAAGATAAAGGAAATATCACTTTCTTCTCAAGTGTTTTCTGCTTAGATATGAGAATTTATGAATTTAAATAGTCTAATTAGTATTCTCATTGACAATTAAAAATATATGATGAAATTTGGTTCATGTCATATATTAATAAAAATAATAAAAAACTAATCAATCCATTTATTGCATATAAAAAAAAAAGAGAAATTGTTCGTAAACTCTAACTTAAATTAAATGATAAAAATTGATATTAATAAGTTAAATCAGTGTTTTAAAAATCGGATCGAATCGATCGATTTAACCGGTTGAATTGAGATTTGAAGATGAAATCGGTTGGTTAAACTTTTTAAAATCGTATATGGATTAAAATCAGAATAAAATCAAAAAAATCAGATTGAACTGTCAAAATCAATCGAATTAAAGAATCAGAGTTGATTTTGTAAAACCGCCTAATTCAAAAAATGCACCGATCTGACATTTCTTTACATATTTTTAAAAAGTTTAATATGTCAATGTCAAAACTTAAAATATTATGTTATTTATTTTTGATATTCTATCTTATTTAATTTAAATATTTATAATTATTTGAATTTTATTTTAATTATTATATTCTAAAATTTTAATTTTATTTTAAATTAGTTTAATTAGTTTAAATTATTTTTAAATAAAATGAAAGTTGACATTTTTTTACATATTTAAAAAAATTTTAATATGTGAATCTTAAAACTTAAAATATCATATTATTTATTTTTGATATTCTATCTTATTTAATTTAGATATTTTTAATTATTTGAATTTTATTTTAATTATTATATTCTATTATTTTAATTTTGTTTTAAATTAGTTTAATTTATTTAAATTATTTTTAAATAAAATGAAAGTTGAAATGAAGTGTATAATTATGTTGTGTTAATATATATACTATTGATATTGTTGTATTAAGTTTGTAGCGAATTTTTAAAAATATTTATTTTATTAATTTGTGAACATTTAATTATATGTTACATATCTATGAAATTTAGTTTTATATTATGAGTTTATTTAATAAATGCTTCGATCATAAATTTAATTGATTGAACCAATTAAATTTTAAATCGAAAATTTTATCAATTTAATTTCTAAGTTCAATTTTTAAAATATTAGATTAAACACCAACATCAAAATTTAAATACTGTATTATGACCAGTTGGTCTAAACATAAATTAGTACCATAAAAATTCTCATTGATCTCATAAAATTACAGTGTAACAAGACAGCAAAATAAAATTTCAAAGGATAGTGATGTCTAGTTATACACAGCAAACATAATAATAATTTTCAACTTAAGTCCAATTCCAAATACACCCGTGTCTTTTTAAGCAGACCTAACTTTTCCACTCTTATTTACAATGGCTTTCGCTAAATCCAAACAATTTGTACTAAGATCATTAACAGCTTTAGCATCATCAGCAATTGGTGAAGTAATCTCACTTTCTTCAAACCCTAAATTACAAGATAAATAGTAAGACACAACTGCACTTAATTGGTATTGCACCTCTCCAACATTACGTTTCGATAATGCTGTAACAGCTTCAGTTACAGAATCAACAATCATACTGAATTGGTCCTTACAAATAACTAGGCAATCAACAGTGTCCTTGCTGGTTCCTGGTTTCGAAAGATGGGTTTCAATGCTAGTGACGGTTTTAATGACTTGTGTTTGTGCAGCTTGGACCTCAACCTCTAGGGCTCTGTGGATGTTGAATCTAGGAGTTACCAATGCTTTTGGTAAGAGTGTTTTGTAGCATAGCAATGGATAGGAGGTAGGTTTGCACATTTTAAAAATATGAGTTTGGGTAGCGAGATGGCCGCCACGGCCAACGGCATGGGTGATTGGTGCGAAGAGGGCATGGGTGGTTGGTGCCAAGAGTATTGAGATTGAGACAATGAGAAGAGCTAGGTGGATTTTGGCGAAAGCCATTGTTCTATATTTTTTCTCCTTGATCTCCTCGGTACAAAGGAGATTGGGAGAATGTCAAATAAGAGAGGATAAGTTGGGTTGGAATGAGAAAATGTGAAGGGGTATTTAAACATTTAAGTATGTGGGCTTATGCGGGTTTTTAGATTGAATATGTTTAAGAATAGGATTTAGGTGCAGTTGGTTTTGCTTTTTGGTTATTTTTAGAATGATTTCATGGTTGTGTAGGGATGTTATTTGACTTTGACAACCACTACTATGTGTGTGGTGATTTATGGTGGTTCTTTTTCTTGTATTCCTTTTATTTTGGAATTTTGACACACATGTTTTTGCAATCATAAATAATAAGAATAAGAAAGAAACTCTAAAATTGAGATGACTATAACATAATTTCTAACAACTTAACAAATCCTATAAATGCAATACACACTCATGATATTTTATTGGTAAATTGTGTTAAAATTTAAAATTTTGAGAGTTGCATGTGTATTAACTAAACATTTAGAAAAATTAATATATTTTAGTAAATAATAATTATTATTTTTTTGATAAATTCATAAAATCTCTTACAAAACCCATTAAATCTTTCTATGCATGGTTACATTATTTTGACATCATAATTTTTCTGTATGTGTGCATATTCCCTTTTCAAACTTTTATTCTATCTAAATAAGATTAAATTTAGATAAAACTTGAACCACTCTTTCTTGAGAAAGTATCAAATGTGAATGTTTACAAATAATCCCTATGAAGTCGAGCAATAAATATGTGCATTTTGATATTGTGGTATTTATGATTAAAATGAATACAACATATAATTTCTCTCGGTTCCTCATAAATAACGCTCCTAAAACGTTATATGATATAAAATTAACACTCCGTAAAACAACTAAACAACCATTCATTTTCCTCAAAATTCAACTTGTACCATTCATTTTTCTAAAACATTATATGATTTTAATCTGATTTTACTCTGTTTATATCTTGAATGAAAATTTTAATTTGATGATTTTAAAAATATTATGGAGATTAAATCTTATTTTAATTTGATTTTGGCTTATATTTTAAAAATATTACTCTGTTCAATAATGAATAAATTTATACTGATTGTAATATGACTTATTTTTATTTCAAATCTAATAAATAAAAATAAAAATTATTTAATATTAAATCTAATTTATCTTTAAATGTTCAAAAATTTAATTTTTTAAATATCATTTTACTTTTAGTATTCAAAATTTACATTTGTGTTGTTATTAAATTTATTTAAGTTTTTCTTTTTAAAATTTTAGTAATATATTAACTATAATTAAAATTATTATTAAAATATAATAAATTATATCAAAATTTCAATTTATCAAAAAAATTTAGTGTTCTTTTATGATAAAACGTTATCATTTATTTTAAAAAATGTTATAAATATTTGTTTTTGATAAAAGAACATGAGACAATAATGATAGAAAAATACATAAATTTGTTACGAAAAACATGAATTTATCATTCTTTCTACATTTTTACAATGATGTATTATCATTTTATTTAATTAATACACATAACATAAAGTTTTATCACTGCATCAAAAGTACGTTATGTCTCTTTATAAAAATATAGAAAATAAATTTTGACGGGGTACTGTCAATCATTTTACACTACAAGAAAAAGGTTCTACAGCCACGTGATTTTGCCACGTGATTTTCATGTGGCTAAATAAAACCAGTTGCGACGTGAAAATCATGTGGCAACATGTTTTACTAATAAAATAAAGAAGCCTGAAGGTTGTCAGTCTTTTTTTATAAAAAAAAATGTTGCGACGTGGGATTCACGTCGCTACTAAAAATACAATAAAAAATAATTAAATTGCTCTAACGTTCAGATATTTGTCATTTTGAAATTTTGAAAAAGTAAGTTGCGACGTTTTATTCACGTCGCAACATTTAAGAGGGAAAAATCAAATCATTACATACTGACATGTTCAGGCTTTGAAGGATGTGAAGAAAGAGAATATAGCTGTTGGGATTGTTGCGACGTGAAAATCACGTGGCAACGTTGCAGCGTGATTTTCACGTCGCTAAGTGCTTTATATATTTATTTCAAGCACGCTCTACAGACAGACAGTAGTATTATGTTACATTGAAAACTCTTCTTCTTCAATCCTCTTCTCCTCATTCCATCCCTCCATAACCATTTTCTTCTTCATAAAATTTGTTCTTCTCCAAGATAAATCTCTTCAATCTCCATTAATTCTTGTTTTAAGGTAAATTCAATTCAATTTTGTCTCTATTTTGTTAACAACTTTTTATTTATTGTATTATTAGATGTAATTTTTTTTAATTTTTCTTTGAATAGAAGAAGATTGATAGAAGTAGATTGCTAAAAGGGACAACAAGATTGAAGGAGTTAGAAGATAAGAGGTATTTCTTGAATTTTTTTTTTGAATTTAGTATATTTTCTGAATTTAGTTAAATTTTAGGTTGAATTTGGGTTAAATTTTAATTGAATTTGGTTGAATCTGATTTTATTTAATTTATAAAAACAGAATAAAAAATATTTAATTTATTAGGAATAATAATATTAATCATTTTTATTATTTAGTTTATTTTAAATTTAAAAATAAAAAAGATTATATCATTATTACTTTATATTTTATATCTTTATAACCATTTAAAATTTAAGTTGATTATATTCTTAGGGGTATATAATAAAAATTCAGTAATAAGTAAATTAATGTTACAAAATAAATAAAAATAAATATAGTAATTAGTGAAAAACACAAATAAATAAATAAATTGTGATGAATACAACCGTTATAATTATTAATTTATGTAGTAACGTTAGTGAATAATAAAAATAATAACAATAATCATTTGCAATTTAAAAATCAAAAAGATTTTATCCTTATAATTTTTGATTTATTAATTTATAAAGAAAGTAAAAAATATTTTTAGGAGTTTATAAATTTTAAGTGTTTAAATTAAATTTTTTTGTCTTAACTGAAAATATTTTTTTTGGATGAACTATTTTAATAGAATGTTGTTAAGTCTAATAAGTTAGAATTAGAAAAAGTATAATAGCCACTTGATATTTTTTGAAACATATATACATTTACTGTCACTAAAAATTTAATTTTCATAAACATATAAGTAATTACCATAATTCATCATTAAAGCCAAATATATTTAGTGAATATGATTTTTTCTTTAATGAGCCATTTTAAATATCAATACATAATTGTAAATAAATGAAAATGAAGACAAATTTATGCGTAATTGAAAATAAAGTAAAATTAATACTAATATTTATTATTTATTAATAAAAAAATCCATGGACAAATGTGTCATATTTGACAGTTATCATATTTTTTATTAATTATTATATATTTAATAAACTATATATTAATATATAGTATATTTAGTAGTATATAATAAAAAATATTATATATTAAAAATAGTTAAAGTAAAAGCATATATTTATCTTTAATAGTATATGTTTAGGATTATTATTAAGTTGATTAATTAATATTTCTAATTAAATAGGTTTTGATTATATAAATTTGCAGTAAATGGAATATTATAGGTATTATCGTAGTTGGATGTACGATAGACTATATCCAGGAAGACGCGCACTTAAACCCAATTTTATAGACAAAGTTAATGGTTTTATCACGTGGACGTTTGCTCAGGAACTTTGTCGAAGTGAAGAAGGAGTTATGTGTCCTTGTCTTAAATGTGGATGTAGATATATAATTAGTGACCCAGAGGAAATAACACGTCATTTGCATAGAAAAGGTTTCATTGAAAATTATTGGGTTTGGACGTATAATGGTGAAACACTACCGAGTAATGTACCAGAGACTAGTAACACAGATGCTTTAAGTAGTCAACCGGCTATGCAACCGCCTATGGAATTTGAGGAAAACTTTAATCTGATAGGTGACATGGTTGGTGATGCTTTTGGTGTTAACATGACCTATGATCAACCAGAAGATTTTGACGGGGAAGAGTTGCCGAATGAGGAAGCGCAAAGATTTTATCAATTGTTGAATGAGATGAATACGCCGTTGTTTGAGGGGTCGTCAGACTCAAAGCTATCAATGTGTGTGAGATTATTGGCCACCAAGTCAAATTGGAATGTTCCTGATCAGTTTTTGGAGCACTTCGCAAAAATGATGTTTCGTCAAGTAAAATTACAAAACACAATTTTCATGAATATAGGTTCACTATTCTAAATCGTCATGCTCATCATCCATATCATCATCGTCATCTAATGTGATATTGTCCTCGAATCCAGAATCTTCATGATCTTCATCCTCATAAACTTGATTCCCCTCGACCATTGTATCAGACAAACTTGTAGTGTGTTCATCTTGAATCACATCATTAACTTCAACTTCATCAACTTGGTAAGCAACATCTTCCACTATCGTCAGTTTCAATATGACTCAATGGTTTTGTTTTTATTACAACACAACACCGTCGTTTACGTGGCAAAAATGAAGGATAAGGAACATAATAAATTTGCCTAACAATATTTGACATTATGAAAGGGTCGTACTCTTTGTACCTCCGGTCCATTTGAATCTCAAAAGTACCATATGTCTTATCTATTTTTGTGCCTCTAGTTGGATCATACCATTCACAATAAAACAAGAAAACTTTATTTTCCGAGTCCAAGTAATTGTATACTAACTCTTAGATATGTTTAACAAAACCATAGAAGTCATCTTCACCACCATCTGTAACTCCTTTCACAAATACGCCACTGTTTATGGTTTTTTTCCTTCAGTCCATTCATGAGTGTGAAATTTATATCTGTTCACGAAGTATGTGTTCCATTTGTTTGCACTTTGACGAGGGCCATTAGACAAGTTTCTCAAATGAAGTATGTCTGGAGTCAGTGCAATAACCCTATACAATTTCTCCTTGAACTATGTTGGAAATTGGGCATGAATGACACCAGATGTTGATTGTACACCGGTACTATCAAAATAGGCGTTGTTAAATTCC